ACTGTACTGGGAAAGAGGCCTGCTCTAATACCATTATTGTAACAGCCCAGCAGTTCTTAAGTGATAGGTCATTGAAAAGTAAATGCATTTTGTTAGCGATCACTTCTCGCCCTTGCCTAATGCCTGGGTGTCACAGTTTGGGTGTCATATGCCCACCAGCTTCCGCTTGGTTTGTCCTTGAACCACACCGTATTGGGAGAGATGCCTACTTTGATACTATTATTGTAACAGCCCGACAGTTCTTAAGTGATAGGCCACTAAAAAGTAAATGCATAATTGCTCCAAGTTAAGCACGCTTAACTTTGGAGTTATTAAGTGATAGGCTACTGAAAAGTAAATGCATATTGTTATTATAGGTAGTCCTAATCAATTCCTTTAAGCTATCCTCAACTGTATACACAATCTCTCGATTTCTCTCATTCCAGTGTAAGTTCGATTTATTCATGTGTCCCTTACTGCTGAAAGCCTACCAGGAACCGCTCCTTGTCTATGCCACACATTGCTCCAACGATTACTCCCCGCCCTTGGTTGAAAGTCTGCCAAGAGCCGCTCATTGTCCGTGCTACAATGCACCGACGATCACTCCCCGCCTTTGCCTAACGCTTAGGTGTCACATCTTCCCCTTCGTAGTTCTAACCAAATCCATCTTTGAGAGTCATTGAAGACTATTGGCAAGGACGATGAGCTTCTCCTTAGAGTCCAAGCAAGTGATTGAGCACCCTTCGGAGAACAAGAACTCTTTTCGTCTTTTACCTTTCTAGGTTTCTTTTGTTTGAGTTTTCTTTGTGGTTATGGGTTTACTTATCATAGTTTATTTTGTTATGAGTAACTAAACTCATAGTTAGGGCTATGGTAGATCCTGCCGCAAACTTTGTGTGATTTTTACTTTTAATGCTAGTATTAGTTTTCATTAAATGTTTGGTTTTTATTCTATGGGATTATATTGTATATGTTAAATTTGATCACCCTTAGCATCCCATAGTTAGTTGCATTGTAGGCGATACCACGTGTACTTAACAGAACTATAGAATAAAATGAGACAATGGGCTAGGTTAATTACACTTAATTTCTTTTAATTTATTATTAACATTAATTTCTGTTTTTGGTCTATTACAATCTCGTTGCGTTTAAACAATCAGATCAAGTTATTCTTGATACTTGAAAATAATATCTGTGAGAGGATAACTTGGGAACTCTTTTCGAAAACCCTTTATTACTTTTTGACAGGTACACTTGCCTACAAACACCTTACGAGACTTAGTTGGGCGTTGGAAGGGTAGCTTCGCAAGTTCTGTCAAGGATGGAGACCCTCTTCGCGCAGAACTCCTAGTTATAGTGGGTGGATTATTTTTTAGGGGAGGCGGGGTTTATATTCATTCGGTGTGAATCTAATTGTTTAGGGGCAGTGACAGTTGTTCAAGGGAATTATAATGAAATGGACAGACTTCATGTAACATCCTCGTTTTTATATTTATTATTATAGCATTGAATGTTAGTTATATCTGTGAAGTTATTTGAATTTTAGAGAGTTTAAATGATGTAGGTTGTAGGATATCTCGCTGTGGCGAGAAAGAGCGTTCAGAAATTAGACATTCTGATGCTCTCTCGCTGTAGCTAGAATTCTCTCGCTGTAACGATGAGCTCTCGCTATAGCTAGAATGACAGACAACAAAGTGAAATATTGTCTGATTTTTTCGCTACAGCGAGAGAAGAGCTCGTTGTAGCGAGAATGGCTCGCTGTAGCGAAAAATGGCTCGCTGTAGCGAGAATGTCGCGAGTCTAGGGTTATTTAAAGGTTTCCAAGTTAGAAAACTTGGATTACAATCCAAGTTTTGAGCTCTCCCTTGTTCTCTCGACCCCTAACCCTCTCTTCTCAAAAAATCTCTCCAAAATCTCAACTTTCTTTTAAATCCAAGCTTGGGAACTTCATCAATCAACTCCAAGTAAGTTCTTGGAGCTTTGTTTTCTCTCTTTGGGTGTTTTCTAAGTTTCTCATTTCTCAAAATGTTCTCTTTTGTGATATCTAGGAAGATCTTAGTCCTTTCACCTAAAACCCTTTACAAAATCTCTTTCAAAACTTCGTCTCAAGGTAAGGAGGGCTTTATTTTGTTATTTTAAGCATCATAATTATTTTGTAACCATAAGAGTACTTTATGTATGTGTTTTAGTATTATTCTTATGATTGATTGACATTGAATTATTATGAAAAATATGTTTGGCTGATTTTGGGTGTTAATAATATGTTCGAGTAGTCCGTTTGTTTGGAATTTAGTTCGAAAGTGCTTTACTAAGCACGATTTCTTACTTGAATAATGAGTTTAGTACGAAAGGAAGTATGAGATAAGTGTAAGAAGCTGAATGGTTCTAGTGTGAATAGTTACAGAGATACACTGAGAGTATAGAGTCTGGAAACGATAGGAAATATGAGGGAAATGTAGGGTGGTGAGCGACATTCGCGCATGTGTACACATTCTTTCTGAGAGCGAATGCGTTACATGACCTCACACTTGTTTCCTGACTATACCCTTGCTAAGGAGCCCGTTATTGTATACGTTGTATCCGTATGCATGGGCTAACCGGTAACTATTTACCTAGTTGTGTAAGACCTCAAGAACTGCTGGAGGCATCATATAATTGTGATCACAGTGCACTAAATGTGCGTATATGAAAGAGAGCAACATAATAATTATGAATATATGTATGTCTAACATATGGCTTTGAGGTTTATGTTATTATGATTCCTTGTATTCCATAACCATGATTGTGCTATTATGTTAGTTTTTAAAGTAATATTATGTTTTAAATGATAAGATAGGTATTTATCCTTACTGATAATTTCAAGGAACCAGGATGATGAATCCGCAGGGAAGAGTTAGACTGATAAATAGTTCTGTAGACTTTAAGATTAAATTACATATTTAATGAATACCAACGTGTAAATTATTTTAAATTTTATGTGTCAGTAAAGAATGACCCTAGGGTTTATATCATGATAGAGATAGATTTTGCTTGTAGCATTCCATTCAACTTCCCTAGGAATAGGATACACCAAACCATATGTGTATATATGTATAAGGGTACAATTAGAACCCCAGCAGCCCTTACTTTCTTATACACCTACCATGACCACGACTCTCTAGGAAGACCTACCCGTTGGACCTTTAAGCGCGACACGGGAACAGAGGTCAAAGCTGACTCTGGCGATGGGTATCTGGGACCTGATGACGACTTAGACTCCGAAGACCTAGCCGAGATAGAGAGTTGGAATGCTGGAGATTAGTATAACCGAGATTGCTCTGGGATCTTTTTTGTAATGTTTGGTGTTGTAATTATTATTTTGATCTTTAAATACTCAAACATACAGTTTGTAAATTAATATACTGTATTGTGAAGTTTATGTATAGCCTTTTTCTTTACTTTTGATTATGGTAATTTCAGAAGTTTTATGCTATTGCACTATTCTGTTGATTTAAATGGAAATATTTGATTAAATTGTAGTAATTACTTTCGGGAAAATTTTATGGTATCCGAATTTCATATTAAAATTGAATTGAAATGGAAAATTATTTATATGTACTGAATTTGAAATAAGGATGTTACACTTCACCAACACAAAGATATCATTCAATCCATTAAGGATATGGTGAATAGAGACTGGCAGGTTTGGTTTATTCATATTCCACGTTAATCTAATGTTGTTGCTCACATGCTAGCTACTTGGGGTGCCTAGAATTCAATTCAATATGTAACATGGAGGAGTCCTCCGGATTTTGTTTTACAAGTTGTTGGGAAGGATCTTTGTTCCCCTAGTTAGTTTTTTCCTATTTGGTTTTTCTTATTTTTTATTTTGTTATAATACCAACAAAAAAAAATCATATCACCATCTCTCTTAGTATTAAACATCCAAACAAGAGAGGATTTTAACCTTCTTCCTCCTCCCTATCCTTTCCTTTTTAAACCTTTCCCTTCCCTCCCCTCAAAACTCCTAAACAAAGTGCTCAAGCTCTCCTCCCTATGCTTCCAAACTCTTTTTTGTCCTTTCCACCTTCAAACTCCTCTTAACCTGCACTCCATTCCCCCAGCTTCTACCCTGCTCTTCTTTCTTTCACCCTATGCTTCCCTATACCTTGTTTCTCCTCCCTTACATTTGTTCTCTTAATTTATTTTTTTTAAAATAATACAATTTCTTTAAATGAATTTAGAATTTGGCATCTAAAACGAAAAATAATTTAAATATTAAGTTTTGACTAGGTTAGTTTTGAATTAATATATATATATATTAAATTTTCATATTGAAAAGGGAAAAGGATACAATTTCTTCAACACATATCATTTACACTACTACTTATTTCATTATTTTCTCCAAATCTTCACTTTTAAGAATAAATAAATAAATAAAAATAAAATAAATTAATTATAATGAATAGTTAAAAATATAAATATAATTACTTACTTGACTAAAATTTAAATTTATATGACTATATATTTTAAGATTATTATATATTATATAATTTTATTTTATTTTCAATTATCTATCATCTTTAGAACTAATATTTTTTAATTTATTTTATTTGTTAATTTTTTTATCAAGTTAAATTTACATTATTATTTAAAAAATTATAAAAATAGATTAAAAATTATGAAAAATAAAAAATTACTTTCAATTAAAAAAATGCAACAAGATACTTAATTTTTTATTTTTTTTACCAACCTGAGTTATTTTTCTTAAAGAAATTGAGTTTAAACATTTAAAGTCAATAAAATTTTATTATAAGTTAATATATTATATTTTCAATATATAAAATATGTTTGAATAAAAAATTATTTCAGCCTGATAATCGATTGAAATATATAAATAGAATAATGTAAATTTCTCAAGTAACTAAAGGTAGAAAAGAAAAATCGTAATGAACTCCTTTCTTGCTTTGTAATTTCAGCTTCACCATTTTGGCCATTCTCCCCCTCCTCCCCCCCCCCCCCCCCCCCTCTCTCTCTCCCTCTCCCTCTCTAGAACCTTCTTCATTCGAGTACCACACGACACGAACAAAAACCGATCTGGTCAACGGAAGAGAGTTAGACTGGTTTCCCTTTCCGAAAATTTCCTCTCTCGTGTTGTTTGGTCCCTGAGAAAACTTGTATTATAATTTCGTTTCTTTTTTCTTTCTCCTTAATTTTTCTATGCGATAAGAATTTTGCAGAATGGAGGAAGTTCAGGAGCCTCAAAACCAACCATCACAAGGTAATTTGCATGCCGTTCTAAAAGTTAAAAAAATCGTTTTTTTTTTTTTCAATTTCTTATATGCTTGAGAAAACTTGTTTTTTTCTTTGGGCACTGTTATTGGTTGCAGGTCAAGAAGTAGAAAATGAGATCATCACTGAAAGTTCAGCATTTGTTAAAGGAGAACCTGCAGAAGAATTTACTAGTAGCCCCCCAAAAGTTGATTCTGAAGCTGAAGTCCTTCACGAGAAGGTCACCAAACAAATAATTAAGGAAGGTCATGGCCAGAAACCATCCAAATATTCAACTTGCTTCTGTAAGTACCATAGTTTATCCTAGTCTCACTCTGTCATGTTTGTAATGCTGTCGCAACAATTCATGTTATGATGTGTGTTTTCTTGTAGTAAAAATGCTCTAGAGGTACACAATGTTGGTATGCAGTTGTCCATATCTAAAACTATTTGAGTTTATCACTGTCAAACTTAAGACATAATTTAAGCGATATATGACAATCATTGAGGGTGTGTTGGGAAATAGCTTAATTAGGCATTTATTTAATAAGTTCTTATCGTATAAGGGATTTCTGAAGAAGTTGAAATCAGCTTATTTTGATTAGTATATGATGAAATTTATTGAAATAAACCAAAAAGAGCTTATGAGAGTCCTCAGTTATTTTCATAAACTCTCTATAAGCTTCTTAATGCACCTTACATGTAAGTCGGAAGAATTTAAAATGTTCTGACATCTGGTATTGTTTCACCGTAAGAAAAATTTCTGTTGTTTAGGCTAAATGATGAAAAGCAGGGAGGACCAAAATCAGATCAGGGATTAATTCCTAATATCTACTATTGTACTTTTGTTACTAATCTTTTCCTGCGTAGCCTTTTCTTTTTCATGTTAGGTCAAATTCATGATTGTGATCTAGATGGTATACGGTTGTAGTTCATTACAGGGCATGGTCTGAGAGCACTCAGCACAAGTTTGAAGACACATGGCAGGAGCAACGGCCAATTGAGATGGTTTTAGGAAAAGGTATGTTCCTCATGTAAATTTAGAATATTGAATTTCTTTCTCTATTGATCAATAGGACTTGTGGGTTTTCATTGTCTGAGATTCTTATCGTATTTATTAACTAGATCTTTGATTTTCGTATTTGTGCCTATGGAATCATGATGTCCAAGTGTAGTGTGTTAATCTTCCATAATGTCTGTCTCAAACCATTGCCAGTTGTCATAACAAAATGAATTTTGGTTCAATGTTTTGTCTTCAAATCTTTTCAATCACTACTATCTTTGTGTAATTGTGAATTTGTGATGTCCAAGCATTTTGTGGCCAAGATCTGCTTAAAATCATCTTTTTACTGTGTACATTGCTCTACTAGTGTTGTTATTTGGTTTTGATATATTTCTCTTGAACAGAGAAGAAAGAAATGACTGGCTTGGGCATTGGTGTGGCAAGCATGAAAGCTGGGGAGCGAGCATTGCTGCATGTGGGCTGGGAATTAGGATATGGAAAGGAAGGAAGTTTTTCTTTTCCAAATGTTCCTCCTATGGCAGATTTAGTTTATGAAGCTGAGCTTATTGGCTTTGATGAAATAAAAGAAGTAAGTTGCCATTAAATTTTGGAATGACCATGGACTTGATAAGATGCTTATATATCCTGATTTCACAGGGGAAAGCTCGCAGTGATATGACTGTGGAGGAAAGGATTGGAGCAGCAGACAAAAGAAAGATGGATGGAAATGCTTTGTATCAGGAAGAAAAACTAGAGGAGGCTATGCAACAGTATGAAATGGTTACACACTTATGTTTCTTGTGCTCTTTTACATTGTTCTTTGCTGTTTTTAATCCATGGAAATTTCTGTCTTCTCTGTTTTAATTTTGGGTTTGAAAAAGTTGATATTGTCTTGGTTCTTGACAGGCCATAGCATATATGGGAGATGACTTCATGTTCCAGTTGTTTGGGAAGTATAGAGATATGGCTCTGGCTGTAAAGAATCCTTGCCATCTTAACATGGCAGCCTGTTTGATTAAGCTGAATCGCCATGAAGAAGCTATAGGACAATGCAGCATTGTGAGTATAAGACTTAAACCGATCAATCAGCACAAAATGCTTTTTGTTTGTTTTATTTTTTATAAGCCATTTATTGGGATTCTGATTTTTTTCTAGATATAGAATAGCATCAAAATTAGCTGCAAGTTCCATGCACCCAGTTTTGGCCTGTGAATGGAATAAAATTATAAAAATACAATTATATTGTAATATATGCTACTTTAGTGTCAAACATTAGTGAGGCGGTAATATTCTCTCTCAGGTGTTGAAGACAGCTAATGCTTTTTTGTCTAAAGGGTTTCTATATAATATTAGTTAAGGAAAATTTCAACTTGTTTTTTATTTTTTTGCACGATTGATTACCCAATCAAACCATGCCTAGACAGAAGATGCGAACTTTATCATTAATCACTCCTGAGCATGTCTTGTCATGTTTTGTTTATCAAAGAAAATATGTAGTTGCTGTCAACAAATAATTGCTTTTGCTGGCAGTTTAGCATATAACTGTGGGCACCGCATTAAGTTTATTTGTTATGCAACTGGATGGGATTTGTTGTCTCATCTAGAAAATGAATTAAGCCAAATATGTTAGCATTTTATTCATCAAAGAAGAAATTGTATTGTGAATTTTTTATGCAATGAAAAACCATGATTTTCTGACCAAATGTGAAATAATTTTTTCACCTTACAGTTCATACACGAGAGTCATTGGTGATGCACTTTTGCTTAACTTAACTGTACGAACTTGCAGGTGCTGAGTGAGGAAGAGAACAATGTGAAGGCATTATTTAGGCGAGGCAGGGCTAGAGCAGCACTTGGGCAAACAGATGCTGCCAGGGAAGATTTTCTAAAAGCACGTAAACATGCCCCTGAAGATAAAGCAATTGCAAGAGAATTGAGGTTGCTTGCTGAACATGACAAGGCTGTTTATCAAAAGCAGAAAGAGATCTACAAAGGAATATTTGGACCAAGACCTCAACCAGTACCTCAGCAAACAAATTGGGTGATACTTATTTGGCAGTCGTTGCTTGCAGTATTTTATCGGCTTATCGCGCTGTTCAAGCGGGGGAGGCTTAAATCTGACTAATTGAACTCTTGAACAAGAAATCCATTGCTGAGTTGACAATTGTTTACGTGCATCATAGGAAAGGCCACGTCTTGTGCAACCAAGGGAATAATTATACTTTTTCTACTTTCCTTTGCTTGTGGAACAATCAAATGTTGAAAAAACAATGGTGATTTCACTCTTCTCTATAGAGGAGTCATGTTTGACAATACTATCAGACTGTTCTTTTGTTACACTTCCATATAGTTTGGTAGATTGGGTGGAAGCTTTTTGTTGTTTAAGTGGATCTGTGGTAGTAGAAGAAAATAAATTGAAATGGGAAATGATCAGTGTTGCTGAAATCAGATAACTTTTTTTCAGAAAGTTTGTAGTATGCCTTTGAATTAATTGATCATTAAGAAGATCCGCCACTAGGATATTTTAAATTTAACTACGTATTTGTTTTATATAATGCTCAAGGAGCCTAAGGAAATAATTTTAAAATCAATGATGTAATTGTATCGTATTTAATAGCATGCCCGTGTAGCATGGTTAAGTGAAAGACCATGAAAATTGAAGAACAATTGAAGGAAAATTGCTCTCACTGTAACGTTTTACTGCCTATAAATGTAGAATTGCTTCAATTTTGCCGAAATCATGTATGCTACAATGCCACACTGTAATAATCTAAAGTTAACACTGTTTAATCAATGATTAGTTGACTGCCCAAATTTGAAGTTAGTGGACAAGGGAGAATCCTGCTCTATTTTTGTATGCAAGGAAGGAAAAATGAATCGTGAAGTTTGCCCAAAGATAAATGTGATTCTTTTCTTATGTCCGCCTGTGTTTTAATCCACATCAAGCTCAAGCTCCAAGTATCGAGCAAAATATAACCACACTAAATTGAATTAAATCCCTCTCCATTTTGAACAGACAAGGATTTTCTTTTTTTGGCCATCAGAATTCATTCCCAACTAAATTACAAAGAGAATCACAAAGAGTGCCATTTAGCACACAGAATCACATGAATATATAAGTAACCAAAGTAGTAATAATAATTTAAAAATGGCCGCACACAGACATCATCAATTACCATGTACTAACATACCACTCGTATTAGTAAAACTTCAACCACGCCAATTTTTTTGTACACATGAACATTTTCCAAATGTAAAGCACATCATCCTATATCACAAGTGCAAATAAATGGGCAGTGCTTATAATCACATATCTTTTCTACAAATGAAAAGGGCAGTGCCTATAAGAAGTAACTAGTGAGTGACTACCACATTTGTTTGGGCATAGAAGTCCAAACACAATAAGCACACACTAACATCTGGGATATGTACACATAAACTGCAAAAGATATACTCATTAGCAACAAGTCTTTCCAATCACCCTTTTGCTGCGGACTCAAATTCTGCTTCACCCTCTTCCCAAGCTTCCCAAAATCATTTAGAAGTTTCCATTTCAACAAGGTTAACTTCCCTTCTCCCATGTCTTTCTTCTCTTCGGGATTTGGTGTTCTACCCTGGCAAGATAATAGAACGAAAATTCTGGGTCTTTCTCTGTTTGAAAATTCATTAGCACGTACCCCTTTGCTACGGCAACAATTGCCAACAGTGAGAGCTGCCATGGATTGGAAGGAAAATTTTGCTTATTGATGAATAAAGGTTGGAATTTGAAGTTAATAAGCAGTAGAAGATAAACATGTCACTTAGTAATTGGTAGTCTCTTTCTTCACGCAAATGCAGAAGAATCTTGCACGTTTGATTTAGATATTTTTCTTCAAATGGGTTAATGGATAAGGGGACATAGTCTATATAGACCCGGGCATTGTGTGGAGGAGAGGCACAATAAGGAGAGAAAAATAAATAATTTTTTTTCTAAATTATATTAAAAGGATAAAATAGCTTCAAAGAATTTATTTTCATATTTTAAATTATAAAATTTTCTGTCTTCGTTTGTCCTTGATTCAGGGTTAACTTTGATGAGACAGGAATGCCAATTCAATTATCAATTTGAATTACAAAAAATCTGCTAATGTTTTCAAGATAATTTAGTGTTTAAGATTTAAATATAATAATCATATTGGCGATCCATTTTTTTATAGTATATATTTAAAAACACTTCAAAAAAATATATACACATAAATTTAATGTAAAAATTATAGTAAATAGCATTAAAATTAATATAAATTTATACCTATTTAAAACTTAATTTAAACATTCTATTATATATTTTCATATATTTTCTTTTAGGTGATCAACTTTTAAAGAAAAATATAAAAAAATAAAAAATAGTAAATTCTACGATACTTTAAAAAATGAAAGATATTCTATATTTTTCTATAAATAGAATAATATAATCGTTAATTTTAATAACAGAGTTGGTGGTATATTTAGAAAAAATATAAATATTTTTTAGTATCTTAAAATAATTTAGAGAAAGCACTTAATATTATCTCAAATTTAGAAATATCTTAACAAGTACTTAAAAAAATTTTAAATAAATTTAGTTTAATTTTTATTCTTTGCCTTATTATTATAACATTAGTTATTAAAATTAATATTTAAATTTTATATTAATATAATGAAAAATTATTATTATTATTATTATTATTATTATTATTATTATTATTATTATTATTATTATTTCATATATGAAGATTATATTTAATTTTTATATTTCATACTAATTTTTTAAATTAATTAAAATATATAAACAGTGTAAAAACTATATCAAATCATAATTAATATTCTTAAAAATTATTTTTATAATAATTATTTAAACAATCATATTATAATATTTTTATTAATTGATAATAAAAAAAAATTTAGACTGTTGTAATTTTACGTTAAGAATATGTTAAAATATTCATATGTATACGATTAAATATAAATAAAAATTTAAAATATTCATACCGTTTTGTAAAAAGAGTTTATTGTGATATTTATAAATTTAAAAAAAATTATTCTCTCTTTAAATTAATAATTGTTATTCACTTAATATTTTAAAGATAAAAAAATATTAACGTCTTTTTAACTAAATCTCTAATATCATTATCTATTTATATAAAATTAATAATTTATTTTACGTGTAAAAAAATACCAAACTCTCAACATGAGAAGTATAAAAGATTTTACCTTTTAATAACCACTTTAAAAAATTTGAAACTTGTTTTAATTTTTATATGAATTTACTCTGATCAAACACGAGAAGTAGAATTGTGGTTCTGATTGGGTCCCAGCTGTGTATGATAATAATATTAATATGCAACCGTCCGCAGACAATAACAAAGTCAAATTAGCGTCAACTTGAAAGTGAAAGCAAATCACATGACGTCAAAAGTATGAACAATAGTCAAAGGTTGCCAGCTTTTGTCACGTTCACCTTGTCATTCCATTCAAGTAAATATTCTCCAGTCATTCCTATTTTTATTATAAATTTTATTTTTTAAGTTAAAATAATAATAAAATATTTAAAACATATTTGTATAAATTTATTAAAAAATTGATATTTCTGTAAATTTGAAAAAAAAAACATTTCTTTAACCCTCTACGTAATTAAAATATTAAATTCAACTCCTTTATTAAATAAAATAAGATTAAAGAATGAACTAGAAATATTTAAAAAAATTGTATTTGTAGATGATACATAAAATTGATTGTTTACTTTATTAAAATAGAGGACGACAATTGCAGGCTGCAAGGTTTGGCATCTCCATAACCATAACCACCCAAATGCGTCACTGCGTTGAAATTTTGTAGTCTTCGACTGTTCCAGATTCTCTGCTACACATTTCCATAAATATATTAAAATCAACGATTGAATTTTTATTTTTTCCAATAAAATTAAAATGTATTAGCATTTATATTCATTTATATTTTCTTTCATCGCTTCATTAATTTAAATATTATGAATTTTATAATAAACTACTAAAATATATATATAATTCAAATCACTTATATGACTAGAGTTGCTTAAATTTATATAGTGAAAATGTGAAACTATTTTCATATATCCGAGTAACAAAATTAAAAATAAAAAAAAATACAAGTTTTAATTTTCATATTTGTAAAATTTTGATTAAACAATCATAAAAATTAAGTTAATTAAGTAACAAACTTTATTTTTTATTGTTTTTTTAGTTTTGTTACTTAAATTTATGAAACATAAATAAAAATTAATGATATTTTTATTTTTAAAATATTATTAATCAAGGTAAAGAAACTTTTTTTTTCATTTTAATGCAAATATTTTTGAGATGCTTTTAGTATTAGTATTATGTATAGTGACTTGGTACAATCTAAAAAAAATAAAACTAATGATAAAGATAAAGACTTTCGCTTGCCAATTATATTTAAACGCAATAAAGATGATGATCGGTGGTTCTCTAGACATTAATATAAAATATGATTTTTATTATAATTTTAATTTATCATACATATTAAGTATAAGTTTAATTGTGACAATGTTAATTGTATAATAATTACATTTAGTGAAAATTATCAAAATACAAATAATAATAATAATAATAATAATTATTATTATTATTATTATTATTATTGTTGTTGTTGTAGTAGTAGTAGTAGTAGTATTTTAATCTGATTGTTAATCTGATTTTTTTATATAATTAGTTATTTTGATTTTTTTAATTAATTAGGTGAATAAGTTCTATTTTGATCCACTATAGCACATTATAGTAATATAAATTGAGATTACCCTAATACAAAGATGAATTATGTAACAAGAGACTAATCAACCTCTTGAAACATAAGGATGATTTATTTGTGGGTTTCCATTTTTACAATAAAGTAAATGTTCAAAATACTATAAAACACTTTGCAATGAAGGCATATCAATTTTATGCAGGGTTGAGTTTAAGCCAATTTTTTTATTTGTAAAATGTATAATGGCAGTGGATATGCTCATGACATATTTGGACAATGTTGCTAAAGAACAAGAACCAACATTAAGTAGTCATAAGTAACATATTAGTAAATTTCACTATATTTATAAGTATGATTAAAGAAGAATCATTGGTTCTAATAACATTGATATACAAGAGGATAAACAATCAATATGTGTATAAAATTTCATATCTCAAATCATGAAAGGCAAAATTTATAGAATCGTTATTTTTATAACAATAACTTATATATATATATATATATATATATATATATATATATAGAGAGAGAGAGAGAGAGAGAGAGAGAGATTTGGTCTCTAAACTTTATCTTGCTTTCCTTTATTCACATAACCTACAAATTATTCAACATACACTTCTTTTTCTAGTATTCTATTTAGAAACACAAATTTAACATTCATGTAATATATTTTTCAATTATTTTGAGTTAAAAGAGAAATAACCATGCAGATTGTATCTAGCTTTGCAACTAGAGCAAACATATTAAAATAATCAATATTAGACTTTTGCTTGTAGCCTTTAGCTATCAACCTTACCTAAATCAATTAATCTCACAATTGGATTTATACTTTGTTTTGTAAACTCACTTTACTTTAATGGGCTTCTTATCTACAAATAGATCAGTTAGCTCTATGTTTTATTGTTTTCAATAACATGTATCTCTTCATCTATAGCCTTTCACCAATTGGATCTCTTATAGCTTTTTCAAATGTTACTAGTTCAAAATTTGCAAATAAAAAAAAAATTATAATTTCTTTATTAGAGGGATCATCATCACCCCCAACAACATAATCTTCAATCATGGTCGGTAATCCATTTTGTTTTTGTGGTCTACTAGATTTTGACACATTTGGTATTAAACATGATTGCACTTCATTTTCTTCATAATCATTAGAAATTATAATCAATTTGTTCTAGAACTTTGGAGGACCAATCTCATATTCCTTTTTCATCAAATATCATGTCTCTACTGATAATCACTTTCTTTGCCTTTGGATTGTAAAGTTTGTACACCTTTGAATTTGAGTTATAGCCAATAAAAATGTACTTTTCTTCTTTATCATTTAGTTTCTTTCTAAGTTGATCTAATACATAAGCATATGTTATACATCCAAAAATTCTATAATGTCAGACTAATGACTTTCTTGTGCTTCAAACTTATTCAGGTGTCTTGTATTGTCATGAACACTCTTAGTAAGGCACTTGCTCAAAATATAAATAGCGGTAGCAACAACTTTTGTCTAGAATTCTCTAGGCAGTTGTTTGGCCTTCAACATACGTCTCACCATATTCAAAATTGCTCTATTTTTTTTTTTTGCAATTGCATTTTATTGAGGTGTGTATCTAGTTGTTAGTTGATGGATTTCATGTTGCTAAAAAAAACATATACAAGATATTTTCGCCCTCTATTTGTTTTTAATTCTTTGATTTTGCAGTCACTTTGTTTCTCCACAAATAACTTAAAGACATCACAAGCTTATAATTTATACTTTAAAAAATAACAATCACATCTCTCTACTAACATAAGTCTAAATGGACAATCTCCTACAACATTGTTGTTCTCTAAGACTTTTTAGTTCAGAATGAGTCTTTGTGCTTTTTGACTAATTAACAAGTCTCACATTCACCATAAGAAATATTCATAGTAGGCAAACCATAAACTTTTTCTCATGACAAATAATTTAATCTAGAAAAGTAAAAATGTCCAAAACGCACATGTCACAACTAATCATCATTTGAAATCATAGAACTCAAAAAAAAAAAAAAATTCATGCTAGATCTTCAAAAGGAATAGTAGATATGCATATTGTACTCTTTATTTGATAATTATATCATAGTCAGTATATTGTGATGAAGACCAAGAGCATAGAAAATATTCAAAATAAAGTTTTGAGAGTCATTATTCAATCTAATAGCAACTTGACCTTTTTTTAATATCAAAATATTTGTATTTATTTCCAAATTTCATAGTAGATTTACCATTTCATTAGAGAAGAAAATAACTCATTTTTGCCACACATATGATTACTACATCTAGTACCTAACTACTACATATTTCCAATTTTTCAAAATTATTAGTTACAAAAAATAAACTTCATAGGTTATTAGAATTCTTACCAATACTTTGGTATTCATTTTCTACCATGTTTACTTATTGTTTGAATTTCTGAACTGCAACTTTATGTTTAAATTTTCCACAATGAAAATGACATTTGTTATTTCTTGATAGTTGTTGCTTCTCCCTCTTCCTTGGTTGATAATCTAAAAATTATTTCCACCTCTTTCTTGACTAAGTGGTCTAAAATTGGTGTCTTTCTTGGTTAAAACTGACACATCCTCTTCTTCTAAGATTTTCTTGACCTCTTCCTCTGTAATTTCCTCTTCCTCCACTATTAAAACCATGACCCATACCTTTAACATTTTGGCTAGTTTCAAATTCATTGTTGAGATTCACTTGACTCTTTAAGGTTTCTTCATTCACTTTCTCCTCCTCCAAAATTCTACTCACATAACTTTCAATGCTTCTCTACAATTTTGCAATTGTCATGGTATTTGTATTGTGGAACTTAATTATTGTAGTAATCATGTGATCAAACTTGATTGAGATAGTTTGAAGATTTTCTCCTCTACCCTTGTTTGATTAGTAACACGAGAAAAATATTGTTCTACACTTTTTGAGTTGGACACTCATATCTTTCATATTCCCTATGCATGGATAACAATTTGGATCTTTATACTTTCTTCACTTCTTTACATGACAACTTCAAAATGTCCTAGGCTTATTTAGTAGTTTTGACATTTGCTATTTTATCAAAACTTAAGAATCCACACCTTGGTGAATTTTGGATAGTGCCAATTAGTCTGTCCTTTAATTACATCATCATTTTGTTGTTGTAAACCTCATTCAATAAAGCTCCAAATTTGTGAGCTTTTAAATGTGTGGACATTAAAAATTCTCAATAATTATAATCAAGTTTAGGATATGATCATACAATATTAAAATTGATTGACATCTTTTACTCTCGATCTTAAGTTGAATCTAAGATGTATATATAATTATGAGAACTCTCTTGTTCTTCACTAATATTATTATTTTTTATTTGTTGACACTCTCAAGTTCACAACACCTAAGCTTAGATCTTACAAGTTCTTATACCAATTTGACAATAGTTAGACATTATCTCGACAATTTTACACACGTAGTAAAAAGAGAAAGAGAAAAAGATCCACTGAATATTACAATTTTAAAATTAATATATTTAAAATCATGTTACAAACTTTGACCTTTGTAAGCATTATAATAAAATATAATAATAATTTTAGAAAATTAAATTATGAAATAAAACATAAGTCATCACTTCTACTTATAACTTTGACTTTGTTTAATATTTTAGTTACATCAACTACAAATATAACTCTTAATTTAATTAATACAAGTATACATAGATATATTTTTATCAATATATAATAAAATCATGACAAATATTGATATACATGTTCTGTAGTACAGTTTTAAATGTCTTTTTTTTTAATTTATTAAAATTATAGAAAGTATATAATTATTGTTTTTAATTTAATAAATTTTATTTATTTTTATAATATTTTAGAAGTATTTAAAGAAGTTTAAAAAAACTTATAAAGTTAGCTTTTGAATTTTTTAAAATTTTTATTAATAAGATTTTTTTTATAAGGTTGATTTTTGAATAACCTCTTTTAAATTTATTTCAAAAGATTTTATGATAACATTTATAGAATCATAATTTATATAAAAATAAATTAATATTATATATATATATATATAATATTATAAAGCGTATAAAATTATATATCCCTTAAGATATTTCATAATAAATAAATCACTTTTTTGGCATAATTGAACAAATGGGCTAATTCTACTATTTTTTTAGTTTAGAAACTTCAACAAATTCTTACTTATTTCATGTATATAATAAGAAAAAGGTGGTGAACAAGTTTTTTTTTTTCACAATATCATGTAAAAATTTAACATGAAATAAAATAATCTATTTTTATTGAAAATCGTTGGGAAATATGATTCTTATTCTTAAATCTAGTTGGTATTTTTTTTATATTTTCATTTTTTATGTAGAGAATAAATAGATAACTTTTAGTTTTTAAATTTAAAAGTGACAAAATAGGTTATTTGACTCATCTGAATTGTCTCAAGTAACATATTTTAGTAGACTAGATAAAAAAACTTATATATAATTTGAATTCACAAAAATAGAGACAAAAATAGATAAAACTTATTTTGCTTATGAAATTTTAAGTCTGCATGAGACTTGGATTAGATTTAATTTGTACTTTGTACTCTAAATTTAAAATCTAAACCCTTTATTTTATTGGGTGGGCTCAAGCTGACCGAGTTAGACATTATTTTGCTGAGTTCAAGTCAAATAAAACATTTTTCTTTTTTTGCATTAATCATATGCTGTAAAAGAATAAGATCTTTTTCCACCCTATCTTGTTTTAAACTTTTATTTTACCAACGTGATGTTATGTTTTATTTTATGAATTATTTGGTGATATTTTTAGTATAAATATGATTTATAAATGAGTTTAGATATAATATAATATTATCTTATTGTGTATCAAATATAAAACAAGACAAAAAAATTGTTTTACTCTTATCTTACATTATTTTTATTCAACTTCTATGTTTATGTTTATGCTTTTTAATCTTATTAATTTTATCTATCAAGCGGCCATTAATGTAATAAATATTTTTTAGTAACAATTTATTATTATAAATGTTTAAAATTAATCATAAAACTTTACATTTTTAAAATATATTTTTCTCTTCCTTGTTTTTTAACCATATAACTCACAGCAATAAACGCAAATATTGAAGAATAATTACAATCCTAGTTTATTATTAATCTGCTTCCACCGGTTCTCTAATGGCTAATGACTTTGAAATGAGTTATAAGTAATCAATATATCAATAGTTGGGTTAGAATTGAATTATAATAATATTTTCTGCATGGCTTTTCAATTGTTGTGTGAGTGTTCAACCTAAGGTTAATTACTAGCAACCAAAATAGTTTCTATGTTTGACTTTATTAATAAATGACAAGTAATTATACATCTACATGTAAGCTTTTGAAACCAAATTATAGTTAGCCAACCTAAAGTGTGCAGCTTTTGAAAATACTCCCAAGTTGTCTACTTCCAATTTCCAATTTCCAATTTCCAATTTACTTTAAGAGCCAACAATTACTAATTATACTTAGGGTCATGCAATTACCATATTAATAAATAATATTTTAGTTCCACTTATTAATTCAGCTCAACTCAGAGCATAAAGTCCTGCACTTGGAAATGGCTGTTGAATAAGATAAAAGAAATTTAAAAAGTTAAAAAGCAATTTATTTTACACAAATGTTATTATTTATTTATTTAAATTTTTAAATTAATATTTCTCTATTATATTTTTATATTTTTTAATAAATTATAATGTGTAATAAAAGTCTATTAAAAAATATTTTATTAGTTTTCCTCTTTATTGATTATTGATTTTGCAAATGAAAAATAGTACGAGAAGCAAACAAGGGATGATGGTGACGTGTCAGCGAATGAGTGGTGTAGAAAAGACAGAGCATTTGTGATTCCACCGCATGCAATTCAAATCACCCTTCCCTAACTTCAACAGTACGAAGTACAAACAAGTCAAGTGCGTTCTATTTTTAAAACCCACTAGCATGCGCCGGTGACGCGCAAAGCGCACCCCACATTTCGCTTTTGCTTTTCCGACCTCACGCATGACCAGTGCGTTGTGCGCACTTTGCGTATCAAAGTCCAACACTTTCTCTCTCATCAGTAGTTGTTAAACTGCGTTGACTGAGATAAATCCCACACCTTTTTTTCCCTCTTCTTTTCCTTCTTTTCTCTTTTCCCAATTACTATTATGAACCCACCGCCACCACTAGCCGGAAGTCCTTCGCCGGTACCTTTTTCCGATCACCGCTTCTTTCTCCGTTAAGTTAAATATTCTTCGCTATTTGATTCCTTCAACACGCAGCTTCTGTTTTGTTGTTGCGTTGGTTTCGAACTAGGGTTCCGGAAACCCTAGGTGCTATTTCTGCATCTGCTCCATGAGTTTCGGAGGTATTTTCTTGGAGTTTTTGAGATTGAGGTCGTTCATATAATAGATAGCTGTTCGCTCGTTCTGCGTTTTGGTGATTCTGTGTTGGGGTTGGGTTTCGGATATGAAGAGATTGAGGTCCAGCGACGATCTCCACTCGTACGGCGACAAGAATGCCTGCAAGGATTCGAATCTGAATCGGTCCTTTTCCTCTGCGCAGCGAAGCTTTTACTACAAACCCGATAATGCGCGCAAGGGTTTGCCGTCGTCCTCGTCATCGCGCTACGACAGGGATCGGACGGCGGAGGAGGATCGGGAGAGTTCGAGGTTGGTTCGTAAGCGATCGGAGCATGATTTCGAGGGTTTTGATCGGAGGAAGGGGTTCGATCGGTATAGAGACGGCGGTTATAGCGGTGGGGGAGGGGATAGGAGTTTGATTCACCGGTCGGAGAGTTTCTGTGGTTCGAGGAGGGAGTTTCCGAAGGGGTTCCGGTCGGAGAGAGACCGGTCTAGAAGGGAGGGAAGCGTGTCGTCCTGGCGGAGAGGTTTGAAGGATTTCGATGAGAGTGGGAGAGGGAGTAGAGTTTCTGTGGAGGACAGAGTAGTGCGTTCCCCTAAGGGTTTGAGGGATGTGAAGTCTCCTACGTGGTCGAAGGATTCTGAGAGTGAGCAATCTAAGAAGAGATCTTCTTCTCCTAGAGTCTTGAGAGATGCCAAATCCAAGTCCAAGTCTCCCACTTGGTCTAAGGATTCAGAGAGCGAGCAATCCAAGAGTGAACAATCTAAGAGCGTTGAGGTGAAGAAAACTGAGGAGTTGCAGGTTCAGAGTGGAAGCAGTAGTGAAATGGAAGAAGGGGAGCTGGAACCTGAACCCCTTCCTCCAACTGAACCCCAAGCGGCTCCTAAAGATGCCCCTATTATTGCAAGTGAAGACCTTCCCTCTGTCCCTTTGGGAACTGATGATGACAAGCTTGTTCAGAATGAATGCCACCTTAAGGACATAGATACTGCCATGGATGAAGGACAGGGTTTATCGAGTAAGGAGGAGGTGAAATCCAATGAGGAGGTTGATTCTAAAGTGCAAGATCCGGAGAAAGAAGCTGATAAGCTGCCAGATGTTCAAGATGATACAACTGAGAAAATGCTTGTTACTGAGACTGATCGGGACACTGTGAGTAATGGTGATGATAAAAAAGAGGAGTGTTTGGATGCTGATACTGAGTGCAAGGAGGAAACAAACAAGGGTGATGATGCGGAGGAGGAATTGTTTGATGAGGAGGAGCGGAAGGAGGACAAGGGTTTGGATCTAGAAACCAGCACAGATGTTGGCAAACCTGAGTTAAATGATGAAGTGTCACCAGAAAATGATGTTCCCAAGGAAGTAAATAGAGAAATGATGGAGGAGAGTATGGCCAACAATGCAAAGGATAAAGGCAAAGGCGTCTCTGTTGCACCTACTGATACTGATGTTGCTCATTCTTCAGAAGATGGCCTGTGGATTGACAGAGGATCAAGAGATATCGCTACATGTTCTGTTGATGTCATAGAAGGTCCAAGCACAAGGGGATTTGAGTTGTTTTCCAGATCTCCTGTTAGAAAAGTGGAGAAAGTAGATAATGCAGTTCTCAACAAGCAGAAGGATGACATGGGGCAGCTTGATCTCACTCTTAGCTTGCCAAATGTTCTGTTACCTATTGGTGCTCATGAGAGTGGTGCTTGCGAGACAACAACGCAAGCCCCTGGATCCCCCAGTCAAGCACGGAGTGTGCAGTCTTTAAGTAATACATTTTGTACAAACTCAGATGGTTTTACTGCATCGATGTCTTTTTCAGGTTCCCAATCATTCTATCACAATCCAAGCTGTTCTCTAACAAAAAATTCTGTGGACTATGAACAATCTGTTGGTAGTCGCCCTTTATTCCAGGGAATAGATCAACTTTCCCAAGGATGCTGGCAAGGTCAATCTCAGAGCGATCCTAAACAGAAAGAAGTTCCTTTTGGTCAGAAATCTTTGGCGAATGGAAATGGCTCCTTTTATCAGTCTCCATCATGGGGTGTTTTAGACAGTCAAGCTGTGAAAGGTCAACATTCTAGGGTTCTAGAAGGTAGCTCAAAGATGGGCTGTGGACTTGACAGGCAATTAAGTTTTCATAAGCAGTTGTCAGGACAGTCAAGACGCCATGACGATGTTAGATCTCCTTCACAGAGTGTTGGGTCGCATGATATTGGATCAAATTACAGCTTTGAGAAAAAGAGGGAGGCCAGAGATAGGAATGGTGGTAGTCTGTATAGAACTACCAGCCAGAAGGAACACGAACAACTTCTGATGGGTGGAGCTGATTTTGTTGAGACGATCATTGCAAAAATAGTTTCTGAACCTGTGCATACAATGTCCAGAAAGTTCCATGAAATGACTGGGCTGTCCATAGTTTGTCTGAAAGAGGGTATTCGAGAAATCATGCTCAATCAAGATAAGCATGGGCAGATACTTGCTTTTCAGAAAGTTCTGCAGAACAGGTCCGATATAACCTTGGATGTCCTGCTGAAGTGCCACCGTGTGCAACTGGAAATTTTGGTTGCTTTAAAAACTGGTTTGACTCATTTTCTTCACCTTGACAACAGCATGTCATCTTCTGAGTTAGCTCAAATTTTTCTGAACTTGAGATGTAAGAATATTTCCTGTCGAAGTCAGTTGCCTGTGGATGAATGTGATTGCAAGGTTTGTGCGCAGAAGAATGGTTTTTGCAGGGAATGTATGTGCCTTGTGTGTTCTAAGTTTGACAATGCCTCAAATACATGTAGTTGGGTTGGATGTGATGTTTGCCTTCACTGGTGCCATACTGACTGTGGACTACGGGAATCTTATATTAGAAATGGGCATAGTACTACTGGGTCAAAAGGGATGACCGAGATGCAGTTTCACTGTATTGCTTGTGATCATCCTTCTGAGATGTTTGGCTTTGTCAAGGAGGTGTTTCATAATTTTGCAAAAGAATGGTCAGTCGAAACCCTTTGCAAAGAACTTGAATATGTAAAGAGAATATTTTCTGCTAGCAAGGATATGAGAGGGAGACAGCTGCATGAGCTGGCAGAGCAAATGCTACCAAGATTGGCAAATAAGTCTAATCATCCTGAGGTTTTGAGGCATATCATGTCTTTCCTTTCCGGTAAGTAACAGATTTCATCCATGGTCACATACTTATACTATTCTGTTATTTTAATGCTTCTACCCTAATTTTACATTGTGTAAAATGCTTGCATCAGGCATTGATTTTTGTATACAGAAAATTAGGAGAGATTTGATGAGTGAACTGCTTTTTGCTAACACGTAGTTAACAAAATCAATATATTAGTAAATTAGTACAGTCTTACATTGATCACATGCGGGTCGAGATGCTCAGTCTTTGGTCCATATTGGTTGTGATAAAAAGTTTTTCTAATCAAAGCCTAAAGACTTGATACCTATACTTCAATTTCCACAATAGTTAGAAATAGATAAATTATGGGCAGCGTATCTTTGCTTTGCTTTTCATAATATTGCACGGACTTATTATTGTTAGTGTATGTTTTTTGTGTTATCTGAATGACACTATGTTGTCAGATTTTAACAGCTTCTGAATACAAAAAACATAATTTATTTGCTTCTTGTTAAAGCAAAAAAATCTGAATATGACTCTTGTTTGTTTTGCTGCGTTAAGTCATTCTAACTTAGACCTGTTATTCATTGGTATGTATGGAGATCATTTTTACAGTTGTCCTATTAATATTTATGTATTCATATTGACTATAAAACCTGGGGAAAATGGTGTATTCTTTCTGCTTTCCCTGCTCACCTGCTAATGGCTCGCATGTCTCTATTTTCAAGCCATAAAAGGACTGAAAAAATGAAATGTAGTGATGTGTTCCTCAATATATCGGATCTATTAGAAATTTAAGATATGACAGATCTCGGATCATGATTGCGCTTGTCTGATTTTGTTTGACATATGTTTTCCTCATGTTTGCATAATTAGTGCTTGTTAAAGCTAAATTGTAGGTTGTGTATTTACATGCATTATGGTCATTGCAGATGGTGATTCTTCCAAATTAGCCATGACAACGAACTTTTCTGGGAAGGAACAAATTAAAGAAAACAATGGAGTAGCTGGGCCCAGCCTGGAAGCTGCTTGGATGAAATCTATTTATTCAGAAAAGCCACCTCTGTTAGAAAGGCCTGCTAACATCCTCCCTGGCTATGATCAGAATGATAAAAGGACGCATGCGCAAGATTTGCAGATGAGTAGTAACCAAAAAGACTTCTGTTTTGATGAATTGGAGAGTATAGTAAAAATTAAACAAGCAGAGGCTAAAATGTTTCAATCACGTGCTGATGATGCTAGAAGAGAAGCTGAAGGGTTGAAACGCATTGCCCTAGCAAAGAATGAGAAAATTGAAGAAGAATATACCAATCGAATTGCCAAGTTGCGATTGGCTGAGACTAATGAAACGCGTAAACAAAAAATTGAAGAACTCCAAGCACTAGACAGGGCACATCTGGAGTATTTGAACATGAAAAGGAGAATGGAGGCAGACATCAAAGATCTGTTATCCAAAATGGAAGCTACTAAAATGAGCCTTACCATGTGATCAGATCAAAACAATTCTAGGATAGTCCTTTCAGGTAAATGTAATATGCCCCATCCTGAAAATTTGTAGGTTCTGATGCCACCTTATTGTTGTGAGCTACTGTAGTTCCTGATCCGTAGTTGTATCTATTTGTTGTTGTAGTCCATTTTGCTTTTAAGCTTCTAACCAAAACATGTAGAGGTCATCACAGCAGTTATTAGTCTTGTCAAACAATCTCAGTTATGAAAGCAATTTAAAATAGATTATCATTAAAACGCACTTACAAGAATGCTCAGCATGTGCCTGGATATGCTGTACAGGCTTTTTTTGTACTGACTGTCAGCAGATGAAAGTTATAAAATTGTAACCTTGGTGGCTGACTCCATTACTGTATTTCATGGTTATCCATGCACACGGGTAAATAGCTGGGCTTTTTACATCCCCTTCTGTAGAGAAATTTCTGACAACTTACGAACTTGGTAAAAAATAAACAATTTTCTGTTTCTGAAATACAAAAAGTTGAGTAAATTTTATTTGATTTATCATGTTGCATGACTTGCATCCAGTTTTGTAAATCATACATTCTTGATAAGACGATAACCAAGAAATAACGACGGTACAAGTTTGAGGAGGCTAAGAGCTTATATAATAAAAATTCCTAAAGTTTGAAGTTATATATTATAGACTGGCTATGCAATAAGGGGTAAAAGCAAAACCCAATGACGTATCCTTACTTTACCTTGATCCACCCATCAGTTTATCAATGGGGCCACTTAAGGATAGGAGGAAGCTATGTGGTCCTGAAACTTTACCCATACACTTCTCATAGTCTGATACCACTTAATGCCCCACCTTCCTTGGCACTTTTCGCAGTAATTCCTTATATCGTAGGTTTCATCTAACATCCACCATGTAGGATTGTGTTTCATTTTCACAAATTTTTATGGTTCGAGTCACTTTCACCTTTGCTCTTTGCAATCTTCAGAAGGCTCGTTCTGAGTCCGGACTTCTTAAACAGCCTCTAAGCCCCTACAATCCAACGGCATTTTCATCATTCTTAGCATGGAGTTGGATACTCAAAGCTCGAGTTCTGCTATGTTTTTCTTTTTTAAAATTCAGCAGTATGCTCTATTTTGTTTGAATTTTTAAAAAGTGTTTCTTATTAATTTTGTAGAAACTCTTTTAAAAAATCTATTTTTTTATATTACTAAAACTAAACCAAACGTCAGTAAACAAGTACAAGAGAACCCAAACATTATCACGCTTCAACTGCCGTTACAGCCACCCTTCTCTTATTTTTCTTAAAACATGTAAATATGGCAATTATGAATTGAAAAATCAACCGATGTTAGAAGTGGTCATCCATATGTGTTTGAGGAATTCGCAATGTATTTGACCCGTGTCACTTCAACTATAATATTTCACATAAAAAATGATATATTCTTTTCTTTTTAATTTCTAATGACTTACCTGTAAAATGCAGACTGGTTAAATGACAAAATACAATTAACAAGACTACCTACCCTCTCCTTTTTTCAGATGGTAGGAGCTCCGTTGTTCTTTAAAATGCAAAATACAGATTCCGATATAGTTAAGATAATGTGAGAGAAACATATTTTATATTGTCATTGTTTATGTAGGGAATAGCAACAAATTATATTCTGTGTATTTAATCATTAATATCATATTTTATATTTTCATTCTCTCTTTCTCTCGCGTGCTCTTGGTTGAATCGATTTTTAAAGTATTCCCATCAAACACATTTTTCATATAAGAACCTTCCAGCTAGTGCTATTAGAACTGCAATTGAAAGTGTTTTTTTTTTCTGCTCATATGTAACATTTTGAAATTCCAACCATATAATTAATTTCCTGTTTTCAGGGTCCATTTGCACATACACTTCTTTCTTCCTTCCGCACTGCTCCTCTACCCAACCCCCCATATGCCATTGAAAATTTGCTGGTTCCAAAAATTATCATCAGATTCAGACCTATTAAGCAACTATAAATTTATGGTAAATCTTAGGTGGAATACTATAAGTGTTTTTCACATTGATATTTTTAAAAAAAAAAATTAAGGTTTTAATTTAATAATTTATATAATAAAAATTAACATATATTATCAAAATAGAATTCTAATTTTAATTACGGAACAACAGTAAAAATATTTATAATGTTATACTTAAATTTTGTTGTACTAGTTACAGTTTGAGTAACTTTTATAGAAGTATTTAACTTTCACAAGTTAAAATTAACTTGTGTTCTTTTATTTTTAAAATTTTTTTAATTAATTTCTTTAAATATAAGATGTATATAAGTTGATTTTAACGCATACAAATATTTTATTCATTTTATTGAACACCACAAAATACTTGCTAAACATTCTGGGAAATGATATTCATTGCTCAAAGGAAAAGGCGTCATGGGTCTTAAATAATGGATAAGAACATGGCATGCTTTCCCTCTCCTCCTAAACAGAGCAATAAGAAAAAGGCAACTGTCAACAGAGATCTTGGTGGAGAGCATTAATTCTGAGAGGAGAGAAGAACAAGGCACTAGCCATAAATCAACCCTACATTTTGGTTAACACAATTAAGAATGCAGGTGGTCCAAACAAAAGCCATGTAGCCACCCCTAAATACACATTATTGTCTATAAAATTATAGAGGACAGGGTACAACCTTCATAAGTTCCTAACTGATATAATTATATCTTGCTTCATTAGGGAAAAACTATGCAAATACTAGTAGAAATCAAACTTTTTATTTTTATTTTTTTTGTTGATATTTAATATTTTGCATAAAAATAATTGATATTTTAAATTTTATAAAAAATATTACTTAATTTTTTATTTAATCTTCAATCTATTAGTAATTAATATCTTGTTTATTATTCTAGATCAAATAAATATCAGTTACTAATTGATTTTATAAAATGACAATAAAAATAAACAAAATAAAATTGTTAGTGGGTAAAAAAAATACTACACGAATATTTCATTGTTGATTCAGTAGCAGTGAGATATTGGTACTGATTTTAGCTCCTATTTTGGAATTAATTAGTAGGATGAATTACAAGACATGAATACAATCCTAGCCCGTACAAGGAAAAAACAAGCTCAACCTGTAAACTACTGAGAATTGGTATGAGGAATGGCTTTGAGATTAATTTTAAAAAATTCAAATTAGAATTGACTTTATGGAGAGAAACACTAACTCATAGATGAATTGAAATATGATTTAACCTTTTTACTACATGATTTAGTTGTGAGATTTCCCTGACATACCATATTAATATAAAAGACCACCATTCTAATCAAAGTCAACTTGATTCATTTTAAAATCTTGCAAACTAGTGTAATACAAATTTTTCCTATATTTAGGTTTAAAATTATACTAAATCAGACACGATACACATTTAATGTAAGCATATACATAGCTCTAGGTGAAATTGTGAAACTTTAAAAGCAATAAACTATGTACAACTGGGTCAGTGATATTTTCTTTTATAACAATTTACTGGAAATTATATGTTCTGAAAGCTGAACGCACCCTGCAGTCATTAGTTTTTTTTATAAGAAAAACTCTCTAGAGTCAGAATTAAGTTAAACCAAATTATTGCTGGTGAATTCTATGTTTTCAGTTAAAAGAACTAATAAGTGCCCATTCAACCAAATCAATTTTTTTATGTTTAATTTAATTCAATAATTTTATTGAGTGAAAGAAATGTTAAAAATTAAATGTATAATTTTTTCTGACTCGAATAAGATTTCCAATCTGGACTTGTACATATACAATTTCTTTTTATCAGATTTCTTTTTCAATCGAAAATACAAAATATAATAACTTTTTGTTTATACAAATTAACAAAACCTTTTACTTAATAAACACTTTTTTTATACTGTATATCATGTACATAAAGTAAGATATTAAATAATAATATAATAAATAAATTTTCAATAATCCATGCTTTTTTAACAATAACTTCCGTTTTATATCTTCATTCTGTGAACAAAACAACTTGGTATTCACTGCATAGATAGAAAAAGTATCCAAGAGAGCGAATTGTTGACAACGTGTGTTCTGCTGTTGCACCATAAAATGGAGTAAAGCTCTATCCATTGCAACCCCACTTCATCTCTCTTCTTAAACATCCACATTTGCTTGCTTTGGTAGTGAAAATGGCAGTGACTTTCATATTCACATTTTCTCTGGCATCGCTATTTGCTGCTTCAGCTCTTGCTGCCATTCAGATCGGGTTGCCAGAAAGTAATGCTAATGCTCTCTTCTGATGCCTATTCATTCATATAGATAAGACAAGAACATGTTACAATTGTATGTGGTACTTTACATATGCATGCATGTAACTAACAACTAACTAACTAACATGTTTGTTGTGTTGTACTTCTTTGTTTATGTTTTCTGACAGCTTACCTCCAAAATGGGAACTTTGAGGAGAAGCCAGACCCCAGAAACCTCAAAAATACCAAACTCATTGGGAAATTTGCTCTTCCAAAATGGGAGATCAGTGGTGTGGTTGAGTATGTCTCTGGGGGGCCACAACCTGGAGGAATGTACTTCCCAGTTAGTCATGGAGTGCATGCTGTGAGGCTCGGAAATGAAGCTTCAATCTCCCAAAGCATCAAGGTCAAACCAGGTAAGTGGTATGCTTTAATACTTGGAGCCTCAAGGACTTGTGCTCAAGATGAAGTTTTGAGGATCTCAGTGCCTCCCCAAACTGGAGATGTTCCTTTGCAGACCCTTTATAGCCTCAATGGAGATGTTATTGCTTGGGGATTCAAGGCCACTTCTGCTTTTGCCAAAGTGACATTCCACAACCCTGGAGTTCAAGAAAACCCTGCTTGTGGTCCACTCTTGGATGCCATTGCTATCAGGGAGTTCAACCCTCCAAGCTCTTCAAAAGGTATAAATATTTATTATACTTTTATAACACTATTATAATAAATGTGCTCTTTTTCAATAAAAATTTGCTATTTTGGAAAGCTGAGTTAACAAAACCCATAAAAAATCGTGTTTCAACTCAATTTATGCCTGAAACGTAATCATATTCAGTGACTTAAGTCAGTTTCATCAAAATTATTTTTACACAACTTAAAACCAGGCATGTATTTGAAGTTGAGCGAATACTACTTTGACTTTTCTAGCAGATAATTTGGTTAAAAATCCTGGCTTTGAGGAAGGTCCATTCCCTATTTTTAACTCTACTAATGGTGTTCTGATCCCTCCCAAACAAGAGGATCTTGAGTCTCCACTCCCTGGTTGGATTGTTGAATCCCTCAAAGCCGTGAAGTTCATTGATTCTAAGCATTTCAATGTCCCATTTGGACGCGGAGCAGTAGAGCTTGTCGCTGGCAGGGAAAGTGCCGTTACACAAATTCTCAGAACAGTTCCTAACAAAGTCTACAACATGAAATTCACAATTGGAGATGCCAAAAATGGCTGTCATGGATCGATGATGATTGAAGCATTTGCTGCAAAAGATACCCTTAAAGTTTCCTTCAAATCTGAAGGAGAAGGTAAATTTAAAACTGTGAGTTTCATGTTCAGAGCTGTTGCAAACGAAACCAGAATCACATTCTATAGCTCTTTCTACCATACAAGTGTTCATGACTACGGATCTCTTTGTGGCCCTGTTCTTGATCAAGTTATAGTGAACCCTGTCACCTAAACACTGGCTCTTTGGTACCTAGTAATTTAGATTTTGCATTTCACTTTTATTCTGTCTTGTGAGTTGTGACTACATTTATCTTTTCCTTTTCTTCCGGTAACACGTGAAACCAATTTCTATACACGTTCATCACAAACTTTGATAAAATGATGTTTTGGAGTTTGGACTTTCTCAAAGCGTATACTTCAATGCAACCAGCTGCATAGCCTTGTTCATAAGTAAAATTTTTATTACCACCATTGATTCAAAGCTTCCAACTCTAGATTAAGTTTGATGTTCATAACTGATAAGCAGTTCAGAATAACATAACCTCTCAATATATATAGAATAAGATATTTTTACAAGCTGTTTAGAGCGAACTTGTTTTAACACACTTCATTGCATGCACATAGACATGGACTGTTTCATCTTTGGTAATGCTCTCTGGTACCACTTTAGATACTAAGTGCTATTGATGTCTTTCTTTTATAATATGAACAAAACAACTAATACTATGAATATTAGGACATGCAAGTGCTGAGGCGTCAATAATAATATCATTAAGATCCAATGCTAATACTATGAATTATAGACATTGCCTGCGTGGTAAGGCTAGAACGGAAAGGTCATCAATGCAGATTTGTAACCAAGCACGTGACCTCAGGAAACAAAAAATTTAGATTCAAGGGACAGTTCCTATTCTGGAATAATTGAAATAGAGTCAGATTAATGATTGACTAAATTATATGAGTAAATGGATAGATAGATGAATGCCTATCCATTTAGAAGTTATTCCCTATGTTCTGGTAATGGTAAACAAAATTAGAATTGCAGACACGGACCTTTTCCATGATTAAGAATGAAAGTCTACTGCCGAAAGAAATCACACACACCACAGCTGAGAAGGTTCTTCAATCTGCCATTGGTTGGAACATTTTTTCTGACATGCATCTGTGTCAACTGAGCCTGAATTTGTGCTTCCTCATTTCCCCAGCGTGTTCTTCCCAACCTTTGAGAAAACTTCACCAAGTGAAATAAGAGGGTGTTCCTGCCAGTGATCCTTCTCATTTCTTCTAGTTCAATGTAAAGTCATGGAAGAAGGTTGAAGATTTTGTTTTCCTCCACTGGTTTCCATCTGCAGTATACTTCCATTAATAATCATGGAAGATACATGTTCACCCATACCTTCTTTAGATAGTTGAAGTATACACTTTCTCTCCTGATGAATTTCCGCTAGCTTAAGCTCATAAACTTATATCCAAAATCCTATTACTTTTAACATTTCATCAAACACTTTTAAATTCTGGACCTGCATCTAAAATGTCAACTGAGATATGTAATGTAGATACCTAAGAAAAGAATATGCTCGATGTATAAGTATTGGGATTAATATTGATGATCATTAATGGTTAATGGGTATATCAAATACGAAACCGATTCTTTGGAATGCTCTGCCAGCATTCTGAACTTCATGAAACAACCTGAAAATTTGTATTCATTGTGTGGATCCTTTTTTTATTCCTCTTTTCATTTGTTTCTACCTACATAATGCCTGAGATTGGTAATATTTTTAGTAATTAGTTGTTACTTAGAATACAATGAGATTTCAAAAGCATAGCAGTCGATAATAGATCTACAACAGAAATGATATTCGCTGATAAAGTCTAGTTAACAATCACAAGTTATTTTTGTCAACAACTAACTACAGTAATCCTTCATTATTACATAACCGAAATTGTGGCCTCAACTCTCAATCCGTTCATGAATGGGTAGTGGATCGAAAACAAAATCACACCCACAACCCATTAAGAAACCTCAAACAATCTATCAATCAAAATAAAAGTGATGGAAAGATAGCACTTAGAAGAGAATACTTGTTTTGTTTCATATCAATTGATCTTTTTGTAATCTACAAGGTCAGATAATTACAATAGTAATTACATGGCATCGAATTAAGTACTCAAGTTTTGACACTCAACTCAACAGGGTCCAATTTCAAAACCTTATTCCCTGCAATACCGGATTACCCAATAAGCCACCTGCTTCAGACTCAATCTTTTCCCCTTGTGCTCCAAGAACTCTCGAATTCAACCTCAAGACACACAGTCCCATTTGAAGGAACCTCGACCATCATTTTTCCTCTAATTCTCACATCCCTCCTTGTGATTCCTATGTGCTTGACTGTGGCAGAAGCAAGAACCTGAGGGTGCCCATGACGGCAAAAACCAAATTCCGATTTGTGCATAGCAGGAACACAACTCCGAATGAAGCATCTAATCGGAAAGAGCATGGTCGTGCCAGCAGAGGAGCATGGCTATACAGCGTCCGAAGATGTAGAAGCGCGTTTTCTGTTGCTTCGCCACCAGAAAACACCGTTTTCTGAGGCTTTTGCGGCGAGGTTGGGACTTGGAAGTGAAGCGAGAGAGAGTCATTGATAGTGTTTTGGCGAACAGAAACAGAAACCTTAAAGGGGTTTCGGTGTTTGCAGGGATTGAAAGAAGATGACCACATTAACACAACCGTCTCAGTTAATTTTTATAGAACATGTTGGGGTCCACAAGCTTTTCACTTCAACTTGATCATGTTGTGGCCCCACTTTTCTACGTGAAAGTCCATTCACCATGCATTATGTAGTTCCTCCTTCGTCTCATTTTCCATGTCATTATCTTCTATAAGCGGTGAGAAAATTAGGCCATGTTATTTCCCTTATAGTTTATATTTTGCTCAAGTTTTATTGACAGCGTCTTTGAGTTGTTAGTTAAAAAAGTAAAATAAAACTTTTCATTGGAAATAATATTAATGTATTTTTTGTTAATTTTTAACTAATAGAAGATTCTTTTATTAAAAAATTTCATATTTAATTTATTAGGTATAAGAAGATTTATAGATTTGACTCACTTGATGCAGCTCAGTTATTTAACTTGGATTTTCTTGCATTTGAAAGATGACTCACAAGCTTGATTGAATTTATTTTACTAAAAAAACACGTTAAAAAAATGAAGAATAGAATATAAAAGAAAAGAATGAGAAGAAGTAAAAGAAAAATTTGCTGCTTTATAATATGAATATACATAGTGGGGTGAGAGGGAAGGACAAAGAAAAGAATCCAAAATGGTCAAAAAGAGAAAGGGGAAGGTAGCATTGTATGGATGAGGAGGAGAATTTGATAACCAAGAAAATAAGGAAGAGTAGAAAAAAGAAAAATGAGTAGAATCCGTGTGTGGTATGGTATGGTGCTACGAAATTTCCAAATACAACCCCTCGCATCCTTGTCCTTATCAAATCACGTTTTCTTCTTCACCGCAAATGAAAAGCTTTGACTGCAAATACAAATGCAAATGCACTATGTGGCCACTGGTTACTTTGGCGGCAGAAAAGAACATGTCGGCTTATTTATTCCAGATAAGATTCAATTATTAAATATGCCCATCACCCATCAAACCCTTCTGCCTTTGCCTTTCATTTTCCCTTTAAAACCCCTTTGGATTACACTATTTTATCCATTCATCTGAGGCATATCTGGCAAAAAAAATTTCAAGTACAAAAAGCTATTATACAGCGTTGATATGTGAAATTAATGCTGAAAAAAAGTGTTCAACGTAGAAAAACACTTCAACACTTGAGTTGGTGTTTTTACTATAAGAATAACAACAGAAAATAAATCATTAAGTAAGTACTAATAGTTTTATATAATATATCAGTACAATTACTATACGAGAGCATGCTCGCATGATGTGCCAATGTAGCATTGAAAATTTTAATGTCCTTGTAATTATATAAGTAACTTGTGGCTGTGATTTTTTGTTATAAGCATGTATGAAATTTTTTAGTTAAGAGTAAGAAGTGTTGAGTGCATAGATATAAATGTTTGGTACTTGATGGTGTTGCGTGAATTAGGCTCAATACGAAGGTAGGCAGTTTAAAGATGTTAGGCCTATGTAGAATGCTTATCAATCTTGTATCATTGTGACAAATTAACCCATCTATAAATAGTGTATGTTTATTTATTTATTTTCGTTAATACAACCTACCTTGAGTAATTAAAAAGATCTCTAAAAGAAATTTTTAAAATTAAAATTATTTCAATCTTAATTGAGATTAGTTATATTATAAGATAGGTTAAATTAATTAGTCATATTATCCGTTGAGAGTGAAGTGTTCGAATCACTTAATTATCAAAGGTTTATTAATATATTTCTAAAGTTATATTTTACTACTTAAATTTAAAAAATCATAAAATATACGGGAAACTTGTTAATGAGTTAGTGTATATTTTGTTGTGGATGGACACTATTTCTGCCAGGGTTATCATATTGAAAGCAATAAGAAAGGACCAGAAAAGTAAAAACATAAGTAATAAAATCAAATGAAAACTTTTAAATTTTCAGGTAAGACCGAATATTAAATGTAGAATGTAATGAAGCTGCATTCAATTTAGATCTAGCTGTCAAAATTTTGCTGTGAAAAAAACACATACAATTTTTAATAAGAAAGAAAGTATTTTAATAATCTGGGGCTGGCTTCTAGAATACGTAAATTAAATTCCATAATGACGACTGCCCACTAGGCCAACCGCCCAAAATGCTTACTATCATATTACGTGGACATCTCTTGTCATTTTTTGTTCCATGTTAGTTGATGAAAGAGATGTCTGTTTTGTTTGGTTTTGCACAGGAAAAATACACTAACGAACCAAAGTATACGTGTAATTATATTCTTTTTTTTTTATGTTTAAATTAAAGTAGACTGAAAATATAGAGTTTATCAAAATCATATCTTTGGTTAGTTAAGTTTGATCTTGCTGCCGGTGTTTGCCTGCTGATTCATTGTTATATTTGTTATCCCTGATAAAATATTTGAATAACATCAAATCAGAACAATAATTACGTACATGATTTGTCCGTTTGATCGAGCTACTTTTTCTATCAGATTAAGAGATGGTAAGAAATTCCATGCATTTACTAACATGTCCATGTCTTAGAAAAGGGCTCAAACTTTTAATGCTGTTTTTATGCTTTATATGTTCACGGCCCAGATCTGATAGCACTCAAGAAGTTGAACTATCTAGGTATTTTCTACTTCAAAGTCGAAGCTTTAATCCCATCACAAGTACGTTATATCATTGCATAACCTCCCATAAAAGAAAAAAGTACATAAACTATGGGATTACATGGCAAATTTCATTCCATCCCATAAAAGACAACAAGTACACAAACTGTGAGCTATATTTCTGTCGCCAGAAATGGTATTGCTATTCCACTTAATTTATAAGTATTTTAATTTTCTTCTGCTATTATTCAATACGGACTACACAATTGTATTTCCCTTCCATGGTTTGAAAATTAGTTAAAATGAACGAAGTCACTTCAACCAGTCATTTGTGGGGCTAGAACTAAAAAGTACTAACCATTAGGTCCTGCAAAAAATGAACAGTTTAGTAACTCACCATCAGAGAGCAAGAGCAAAATAAAGCAGATGGATGTGAAACGAAAACGAAAACCAAAAAATAGATTAATTTTGATTAATAATCATCATCAAGGGCTAAGCCTACGGCGTAAACATTACTGTTTTTGGTGGTAATATTTGTCGAGCAGCATCTCTGAATACTCTCCAAAAGTAAGGGCGGCATTTGATGGAATAAGCTGGGAAAAAAATGATAAAAATTCAACTTATTCGTGACTTCAGAAATGTGGCTTACCTCATAAATAAGCAGGAGGCAGCTAGATTAGGCTCAATAATCTAGATGCGGAAATTATGCCATGCAGAATGCTAACTTCACAGATATCAAAAGTCCATATTTCACTTTAACAAACATAAAACGTTCCCCGGTCCCACCATCCACCAAATTCAGAGATTATCTAGAAAACCAACTTATTAGGTGGAACCTGAAATGTTTTCAGCCGACAACTGAATTCCCTGGATGAAGAAATTGCCTTGCATGCACTTTTAACGAAAACCTAACTATTTCTTCCAAATAATAAAATCACAGATGATATTGCAAAGTAACTCCTTTTCTTTTCTCTTTCCCGCTTTGTCAATATCATATTTTATCAATACTTATTCAAATCTCATATTCCGTAACGGTGTGTTGTTTAATGCTGAATGGGAAGAACGGTCACGACCTCAAAAAATACATACCTCTTTGTGAATGTGAACATCCTCGGGAAAATTGAGTTTTTCATCCCTGAAAAGCAAAATTTTATTTTAGAATTGTGCTCAGATCAGATTCATCGCTGACCTCAGTTTTCTCCAATGTTATAGCATTTTAGCAATCTAACTTATAATTCTACTCTTGAAGATAACTCCAAACATAATTTAAGCAACACAACAGTAATGCATTATTTGCTTAGACGCGAGAACTACCAGTCAGGTTGCATGAATAATGCAAACGTTGAGCGCTCAACTCCAGAAGACTCCTCCCCCTTAGGAGCCTACAAATATCATAACTTTCATATTTTATTACAAAAAAATGCTAGTAGAAACCGAACAGAAAAAGGAAACGCAATTGAGAGTTTAAGAAATTGCATTTGGGAATATCTAGATTAGATCAATCTAGAACCTGAGTGACACAAGTTACTGGACGCCCGATAAATGGAAAACATCAATTGCAACATCCATTTAATAATTCATCTATAAAACTAATAAATTAGACTTATCAAATTTGGTCTTACTGACCAGTGCCCTTAGGGGTTGGTTAAGAAATTGGAAGTGGAAAGTTTGACTGAAAATTGTATTGGGCTGTATTAAAATTATGGTGGGAGATATACTTATTATATTTTCTAACCAAAAATTTCTACTTTTATTTTCCTTAATCAGTGCCCTAAGGGCATTGCTTAGCATTTGCCTATCAAATTTAGTTCTACAATTTGGTCATACAAAGGACAGCATACGCATTAGGCATCTATCTCTGTCTATGATTGGGTAGATCTCCAAGCAAACTTAGCCAATGCATCCAAAGTTCAAACCACCAGGATCCCATTTCACAACCCTCGCAAATAAATAGGAAAATAAATAACACTTCGTATGTTAATGCTAAATTGAACTTCATAAAGCATCTTAATAAGAAAATTGCCAATCAATGTAGAAGAAAAACACAATGATAAAGATATGATTGTGACATCAATAATTAGTATGTATACAAGCAATGAATGATGAAAAGTAGAAAGCCAGATGAAAAAAAAAATATAAACTTGATTCAACAGGATGACCATGGCATGTTATAACAAAATAGGTACAACATAATTATTCATGTTGTCGCAATTTTCAATTTACCTGAACACAATGAGGTGTTGCGCAAAGATAACCTCCAGAAAGTATTTCAGTGGTTTCACCAATTTGATATGCTATATCATCTTTTCCATAGACAACCTATAAGATAGAATATACAATGAGTAAATGCACTGTTCTAATTCTCAATAATTCCAAGATTCAAATTCCCAACAAATGAGTCATAATTAAACCCCCAAAATGCAGGTAACGTTGTTTTTCAGAAGAGAAAGATCCATGAAATGCTTTTATTGTTTTTAAGTCAAGCATAGTTTCTAGAAGCTCATGTGTCATGCGTTAAACTTGTTCATGCTCAAACATTAAGGGAATGGGATAAAATGCAATCTAAAAGTTTATGCTGAAAATCGTGTGTCCCTGATGAATAATGACAAAAGTATTTTTAACTGGTAGAAGTTTTGTGATGACATTGCAGTCATTTGAATGGCATATTTATTGACCAAAGAAAATACTATTTATCTGATGGGCCTGGACAAAAAGGGCCTCCACTGAAGACATATCAGCAGAGCAAGGGCAAAATAGGGAATGCTGGAATGAAAACGGTTAAGCAGGGCTTAACAAACTGCATACGTGTCAAAAAAAGAGAGAGGAGAAAGATACGGAAATCTAGCCCAGGAATGGATATTAGAGGGGCTGAAAGGAGGAGATGGGATAGGGAGGATTTTTGAGGGTATTCAGGGTGGCTGCTGTCACAGGATAGGATCATCATTTGTGTTGATTGCTTGCTATTGTTTTCTTTTTGCTACTTGTACTCAGGGATCATCCCTGTAATTTGCTTAATTCTAATAACAAGAGGAATTCTATTAGTACACTCCTTTCAGCACACTATTATTGAGTGAAATTTATTTGAGATCCACTAAATAAAGTGAGTCAATTCCACTCGCAGTTTAGTAGGTCCCACATGAAATTGTGATGCTAACATTTCTCTATCTATAAAATATATCACCCACGACAGATTGATAATAGAGCATCTTAAATGACTTCAGAAAAAAATCAGTCCAAAATCATTCAACGCTATCAAAAGAAAGGGTACATTTTACCGACATTTTTAATGAATAATATCTGCAAGAAAGGATGGATTTTTCATGTTAAAAGAAAGATGAACCAAGAGAACATTTTAATGTTGCAATGATGTAAATTTTTCTATCAGTGGTATCCATGATGTTACTCATAATTCTAGAAGAAAAATGTATACTTTGACAATTTGATCGTTTCTTGAGCAAATATATAGGCCAGCAGCACTATCTGGGCAGGTAATTTCCACACCATCTTTCATAAACATAGCACAAGTCAGACCTACGTATAGAATAAAAATGAAAGTTAGAAGAATGATAGCATGTGGAGAACTATAACATTTTTTTCTTCATAACTGTGTTTTCAATATCAATGAACTTCCCTAATCAATTTAACTAAAACAATATAGGGTCTAAGAATTGATATTACACTGAATGAGAATATATTAAAGCACAGCCTATATCTTATAGTAATAACCTGTCAGTGAACCGTGGTCTGTATGCCATCCACACCAAGAAGACAGAGGGTTACCATCTGGGATTCTGCAAAAAGTCATTTGTAACTTGTTAACATACTGTCATGCATATGCATTATGATTAACTAGAAATGTTTGAGGCATTCAAGTATATATAATTATATTAAACTGGAGAAATAGAATAAACTCTAAAACAGCATTCTAAAGTGAACTGAAAAGCTTTATGATTCAAGACTATAACCAAGTTCAGAAGTAAAGATATCCATGAGAACAAATTTTATGCCTTTGAAGTTTAACCAGCCATCAATATATAAGTGCTCCTTGACTAGCATCATAAAGGTATTTTAAAATGTTAATATTTGATCTCCCTCATAACTTGTAATGTATAGAAAAAATTTTCGCTACCCAATGTGAGCTTGTATCTCAATTATCCCCTATCTAAGTCTTTTTTTTAAGACTTGAGCTTTTTGATAATTTATTAGAGGTTTGATCCCCCACTAGGCCACCTAAAATCATAATTTAAAATAATGATAAAAAGACCATGATAAATGCCAAAAGGAGTTGGCTAGTGGTGAGAGGTTTGGGTAGTTTATATGAGATATTAGTTTAAACCTCATTGATACCATTGTATAAAAAAGGACCAAGATAACGTTATTTTAATATGTGATATCATGTTCAGATAATTTTGAAATCTTAAATCCATCTTCTAATTATAATATTAAAAAAAATTCAAGGCATAGTCTTGATTTTATTTTTTAAAATCAGAAAAAAAATGTTTTAAATGAAATTAAAACTAACAAACTCAAGTTGTAAGTTTTGAACTACTAGTTTCCATCCTCTAGGGTTGAATTCTTCTAGTGCTCCGCAAGAAGCAGGGAAATTATGAGTGATTGATTTTTGCAATTAAGTTGATTTAGTAATATTGTAAACTTCCTTGAAAAGGTCAAATAAAAAGAAACAACCAAACTCAACTCAACCAATAAAGTCCATTACCAATGTTCACGTTTTCTTTTCTATATTTTGGTGGACAATTTTCATATATTGGTTCCACTAAATATTAACAGTAAATTACCAAACATAAGCTTATTGTTTTCATCAGATATCAACACAAAAGTCTTATAACAAGCAAGGAGACGATGTATAACAAAATTACCCCTGTTGTGCAGGAAAATAATATAGCAAACGCCCTTTATGACAGCGAGAGTGACATAGTATTGATTCCAGACCTTCATCCTTGCGCATTTTCATCCCTTTGGATACTGACAAGTTGTTTGAATTTGAAAGTGACAATAGATCAGGACAGCAATAGAAATAAGACAAAAAAGTACAATAGGTAAAGGAAGTTGGTTATGAACAAAAAGGCAGGAGGGAGTGACAATTGCTGTGCCCCCTAAGAATGAGTGCATCAAAACTCATATATGGTGCTTAAGGCCCTAACTTGATAAGGGCATGAATATAAAATCAGAAACTTTGCCAACTTTAAAAAATTTATGATTCTTAGCTTACAGAGCAATGTGAAAGGATGGAAAGGGGAATACAAATTCATTTTGAGGTAACTTATTAAATTAGATGTTTAGTGTTGCCAATACAGCAGTATAATTTTTCAAAATTTTTCATGAGATATTCAGGGGTTAAAAAGAAATCATATGTTTTCATTTCAAGATAGAATCTCTAACCCAAATTCTCATTCCTATTCCACATAAAACCATTAAGAGCTTCAACATTATAAGAAATTTCACTTCAAATTCTACGGAAATTTGTACTTGATTTCAAACTAGGACGTAAAATTAACTTTCCTATTAATAAATAAGCAGAAAAGTAGTCCTACTTCCAACAGGTAACAATACATATGAAATAGAAAGCTTAGTGAACAGCATAGGCAATTCAAGATGCCTTTGTCTAAAGCCAAACAAATATCAAGGGCTGTCTTACCACCATATTGATCGCAGTGATATGCCAACATCAATCCTACATCAAATATCAGCTTCCCAAGTGCTTTGAAAGCTACATGTCAAAAATAAATAAACAGTGAACTGTAACCAATCATTTCACCATCCAGTAAGACATAAAGATTAAAAATAAACTAGGAATATTTATTACTAATGTTTAAAATTATCATGATTTGGAAGAAGTATGAATATCATGCTCTTAATCTTCTAATTTTAAGTTTAAAATCCATTAATTATTTATCCATAAAGGATGAAAAAAGTTATAGAAAAAATACAAAAGGAAATTATTAGTTAAAATAGGAACAGCTAATGACTCAAGTTGAACTGGTTAATGATGCTTAAAGTGGTCTATAAGTCACCACTTATTGATTGGAAATATGTTTACCAAGAATTCCTTTATTGTGATTTTCACAAAATTGTACTCTGTCAAAGATGAAATATTTTATTCAAATATATGTGTAAAAGTACAACTAAGTTACATTTCCAGTATCTATGATAAACTTGTAAAGAGACAAAAAAACTAATGAAACGTATATACATGCAGAAAATATAAGTTGATTGCTGCATTCACATAGGCATAGCAATACAGAAAATAACTTATGGTCCATAATAATTGTCTGTATGATTATTCATCTAAACCACAGGGGAAGAAATCTTGTAAACAGAGCAATATATACCGCCACAAATATTTTTAAAACATACACTGTAAATGCAAAATCAGTTCAGGATTCAGGACATACCCACTTCAAGTTCTGGTAAAGCACTTTTGGGCCATATATTTGATCCGCAATATGACGGATACCTGCAGAAAACACAAAATCCAAGGAAACGCACATGATTGTAGACACAACATTACAGACAGAACTAGACAATATAATATAAATGACACTATGAAGTAAGCTACACATGTAATGACAATAAAAAGTAACAGATATAAAGTTTAAACAAGCATCAATCTACATTGATTTAGAGGATAAGAAAAAAAAAAAAACTATTTGACTGAGCTAATAACTCAGTATTATTGTTTGACAAATTGAGTGAATGTTATATATTTAAAAAGATAATAATTGAATTATGGTAAAGCAAAAGTTGCTCCACATCATCCACATAAAATACAGAAACATCTACAGCAAGAAAAAACTGAAAATTTTATAGTATAGCACGTGTTTTCATCCACTTTTACCGTTCTAACAAAGATGCCTCTGTTGTAGGTGTATCAAGTATGGGATTGGCATAGAAAGATCCTTTTAATATATCTGCACTCACAGAATAAAAACGCAGATAAAAATACAAACAAGCGTCGCTTAAAAATGTTGATCACCTACTGATTTTCCAATATGCTTACATGCAACTAGGTACTAGAATTTCCAAATACACAGATAAAAACAAAATATTTATCATGTTGTTGAAGGGACTTTCTATAATTACAGATCAGGTTTACTTTTATGAAGAACTTCAACACAAAATATTGCTTTCTTTATACAGAAAGTCACTTACTGAGCATCACTTCTTTTCTTTTTTTCTTTTATGTTGTAACTCATACCATCAGTAAGCATAATATTACTTATGGGATGATCAAATAATATTCAACAACCCAGCATCCTGATTTCAGAAAGTAATATAAAAAAATATCTGCAATGCGGGTAGTAACTATATCAAAAGCTTGGACAAAAACTTTTGTGCTGAATAAAGCACGAATGCTCAACATCTAACCATCAATATCACAAGATTAACATGATATGAATATCAGTTTGTTCCAAGCATCAAAGGCACTGACTGAATTTCATTCCTTCTGGACAGTACCGGTCCTCAATTTCCAATCATCATGTACGTAAAGTATTCCAGAAAAAAAAGGTGCATTGTACATTTCAAACTATTAGTGAGTTGTGGGGAGCTAAATATGCCTTTTCATTAGGATGCATTATGCATATTAATGTATCTATATAAATGTGTAATCGTGTAGATATTCAGACAAAAACTTGTCATATCTATGCTATCGTGTATCTCTTTGAAACATGCATGTTCACTAAGTATCTATATTTTACACATTTCTTTACAACTTAGACTTGAAAAATACACTAATTGTCCAATTCATATTTCTCACCAAAGATTTTCCAACAAAAAAGTCCTCTTCCTCACAATAATTTTGAAGCATACAATTACAAAGCTTGTTCAAACTAAGAGCATTTTCTTTTTGTGGACAGAAATATATTTTATTACAGATAAACAAAATACAACTGTGGGCAATATAAGACATCTTATAAAATCGAATAATCAAAATACAAAAAAAGGAACATATAAGTCAAAATGCAGCAAGACTTTCAATGCAAATCCAATATAGAACATGTGGTAAATAGCAATCAATTGAAACACCAAGAAAGATGCCATAACAAGATTTTTTGCATAACAAATTTAAAGCATTGAAGAAAAACCACCAAAAGATTGATGAAAGAGTTACCAGGCTTCCCAGATTCAAGTTTCTCTTTTCCATGACTCCAACCAAAATTGTACCTATGAATTCAGGTGGATAGAAGCAGTATAAGTTATTTACCGCTGCAGAAAGCAACGAATACTGGGGCCTGGACTAATGGCAAAAGTGAACAATATATATGATAACGGAATGAGGTAGAATTTACAATGAAAAGTGAAAATTTAGAGGTAAGATGTCGTAAATACGGATAAGTTACCTACTATGAGGATCTTCAAGATCCTCCTTCACTTCCTTAGGAAGATTTGCCAATCTGACATAAGGACAGCAAAATGTTATCATCAACAAAATTACAGCTTTTTGTAGTGTCTTTTGATGATTTAAAACTAATGCACTGGGCATATATGCTGAAATACCATCTGAAAGCAGTCAAAGCACATACCTTGGTGCAAGATGCAAAAGATTTCTGCGCAGGGAAGAGTATCCTGGGACCTGGAATTAATTCCGATCAAATAGTTATGACAACACAAATTATATAATGCATCAAGAAAATCAACGTACACGGATTGCCAGTTCCAAAAAGCTGCTATATCATTTTTACAATATTCAATTTCTACAAGAAATGGGCACAGCAGAACCAATGACAAAAAGAAAAAGAAAACGCTTGGACCTAAAGCCATAACCTGGACTTAAATCTCGACCACACTGACTTCAAAAGTAAACTAAATAGAGAATTCTGTGTTCTGTAAGTTTGTGGCATTACATTGAGCCATTGAGATTCACCAAAAAACTGCGGTGGCTGGTAAATTGTAGTACAGACACAAAACAAGGACACAACCTAAAGTTTGACTCTTGTCTTCATTGTTTCAGCTTATAACGTTAAAAGACTTATTTCAACCTTATATCCAAAAACCAACAAACAGAATGAACAATTCAATTTATCCAACAGCACTTTCTATTCACCCTCCCCCACCCCCCTCCAAGAAAAAGGTGTTTTAATTCATTAATATTTCCAACAACAAAAAAAATGAAAGATGGCATAAACAAACAAGTCAAAAAGCACACACATCAGTGACAGATAGAATCCCCAGCCCGTTGGGTCCGAATCCTTCCTCAATCTTCAACAACAAGTCAGAATTCTTATCCTGCAACAACGAAATAAGAACAACGGAATCAATAATCAAAGCATGTATCACACAAAACAAACACATGCAACATGTTATTACATACATGAGTGATAGAAATAATTGTTAAAGCTAAAAGCCAGTTGTTGAGAGTTTGTTTGAGTCACTAAAATTCACAAAACAGAGAGAGAGAGAGAGATAATACTTTGAGTTTGAGCTGAGAGAAAGAAATGGAGACGGTGTTGACGGTAGGGAAGGAGGTTTGGGAGGACATGGCGTGGCAGGGAACGACGGCGTTTCGAGAAATTGGGCGCGGGAAGTGGAAGAGGTTCGGCGTGTGCATGTCCACGCTCATGCCCATGAGACTCACTTTTGCCTTCAATTCAAGACGTCTAGGGGTGGTGTCATTGACGTTGATATGCCTTTCACAACTGTCAAATATGACCGTAATTTTTAAATTTAAATTTAAATTAATTCTTAAATTAAAATAACACTTTTAAAATTTTAATTATATCATTTTATTAATATAATTACTAAATTCAAAATTAATTTAATACACTAAAAGTATAAAAATTATACTGATCGGTTAATCATTACTTTTATATTATAAAAATTATTAATATTTATAATAAATAATAAAATATTATATTTATAATATATTTTAATTTATCGATTATTTTTATATTTTACATCAAAATTAAATTTCTATAATAATATTTTAATTAAAATTATTTAAATATAAAAATATATTTTAAATTTAAATAATGTATCAAAATTTTAACTTAAAATTAGGAGTAAAAATTAAAAATAAATTATTAAAATAAGAAAATAACATCCTAATTTACTTGTTTTTCTTTAAAGTTTCACTTTGTAGTTATTTTAAAGGGATTCTTTAATTGTAAATTATTTTTTAAATATTCAATTGTTTTTTCGAGCCTTATCTTCTAATATTTTTTTTTTAACAATCTTAATCGTCAATTCTGGTAACTAATTCCTTCTATAACTATTTTACATTAAAAAAATTTCCTTTTCCCTCCAAATCTCAATCACTTTAATTTTAAAATTTTTATATTTTTATATTTTTTTCTTGTAAGTTTATTTCTTTTCCCTTTTATCTTTTTTTAATAAAATATTTCACTTTTTCTTTTATCAATTCTTCTCACACCCGTATTAGATGTAAGAAAATGGTAACTCTAACTTTTTATTATTAAATCCAACTGCACACTAACACTATATTAAGAGTTGTTTAATGTTTAACTCCAAATCTTAAAAACGATTTTGTTTAATTTAAATCTAAATTGTATTGAATTTGTTATGTATTGTTTTGTAATTTTTTTTATTTTTAATACATTTTTACTTATTAAATTATGTATGCATGCATTTTTTATATCTTTAACTTAAAAAATTGTACTTAATCAAAATAACCAGAAAATATGCATAATATTTGCTGGTTATACATATTTTACCTTAGAGTTACCTTCCTTTATTTAGACCTCAAGGACAAGGTCTTTTCGGAAGATGGGAATAATGAGAAGCGTGCAAGCATTGGGGCCCAATTACCACATAGCTAAGAAGGGAAAATCGTTAGGCTTATAGCACCAGAAAAGCCAATTCTGCAAGACCCGAGAGGAATAAGCAAAAACTCCAGTGATTGAATAACTATGAGTAGCTTCTAAGTATGAAGTTAATATTTAAAATTTACAATTCTTCTAATTTCTGTTGATGTAATTTTATTATTTGTTATCCATGTAACATTAGATTTGTTTTGTTTGTAACCAATTCACACTATATGTGTTATGAGTGGAATGAAAAAAGAAAAGACAAAAGAAAAAGTTAATCCCAATTTTATTTTTCTAGAAGCTCGTCCCTACTCGAAAAGAACATTTTTTCTTATCGTATAGTGACTATAAAATCAAGTTAAACAATGATCACGATCAAACTAGTAACGTAATAGAAGAAAGAAAGCATAATCCTCTCATTCTACAAAGCCTTCCAATAAAATATTCCTCCTCCTTAACCTAATGCTTCTTCTTGTATCTCTTTCTCCCGAATCATTTGACACATATCTCCTTAGCATAACAAACTTTCTCATTTTTTTCGTGTTATTTGGCTGTTCAGATTTATTTTCTCTTAACCTGTTATTTTAGGTCCATGTACATGTGGTTGCTCTCTTAAATTTTCTATCTTCTAATAACTTAAAGTAGAATTAGAGTGAAGATTTGTTTGGAATAAACATAACTATGATCAAAGTTGATGTGAATCGAAACTAGGCGCATAAGCTTGTTTGCCTTTATTCTCTGCGTCAGTTTAAAAGCAATTTAAATCGCTCATTGCGTGTGCCAATTATTCGTCCTGTGGGTTGAAACAATATTGGCACGCAAGCTCATTTGTATCGTTTGACACAGTTTTCTGCGACGTTGTGCATAACCAATTATTCTTGGACAATACACGTATTTCATTTGGCTCTGATATTCTACAGTAAATTTTTCACTTTTTCACTGATTCAGTATTAATCTCTATCATTTATTATTTTTTAAATAAACAAAATTCTTATTTCAATGTCCAAGACACTCTTCAATAGTAATGTTTCTGCAGAGAATTCTGATTTCCTTTTACCTGTAAGCTCCTCGTCGCCATTTACGTATATGATAGTTTCGTTCACGGATGTTCCTCCAACAGTAATCGTTGAATGTGGGATGGTATAGAATAAAAGAAAATGCAAGGTTAAAAATAACTTTTTATTATAAATATATTAGTATATTTATTTTTGTAATTTTTAATATAATTTAAGGTGAATTTTAGTAAAAAAAGAAGTGTTTATTTTAATTTAATAATAATTTCTTACGGACACTAATCAATAAGACTTTAAAATAAATATTAATCGATTAAGGTCTAAAATCCGTACGAATAACCTTATAGCTTTGATTATAGCTTTGCGGTGATAAGTTAACTATAAAAGTTTATAAGTTACAATTAATTGATTGAATTTAATTTTTTCAATAAATTAATTATATAATTAGTCAAAATGTGTTATATGGAGAAAAAAATAATTTCATGTGAATGTGAATTATTTAAAAAACTAACAATAAAAATAAAATAAAATATTAGTATTTTCTAATAAGTTAAAAAGTACTTAAAATACATTTCATACACTAAATTTTAAAAGATACAAGTTTTTTTTTTACTCTACTAGTTTATTAATTTAAAAAATTAAAAATTTATATTATCAAAACACTCATGATTTCATTATTAATCGTCCATCGACTATTGTCTCACATCCTTTTTATGGTCTTGCTAATCAAAGTCTTAAACACATTGATTGGTAAAATTGATAAATAATAAATTATTATCAAATACTAAAATACAATAAATTTTATGTGAATAAATATATTTTTAATAAAAAAATATTTTTTTGTTTCTTAACTAATATATTAAGAGCACTAACTAATATTCTTTTTATTTGTGTGCCCTTTAGCCTTTTGTATTATTTTCAGAAATTAATTTCAAAATTATTTCCAATGCATCCCAAAATTAATTTTTATTATTTTTTTTGTCGATCAAAATTAATTTTTCAAATAAAAAATTAACCCCAATACTATATATTTAAGAAAGCATGCTACCTAAGACAGAGAAAGCCCAATACCACTTTTTGAGCCCACATATTAGTCCGCATGCTGGGCCTCATTTGGTACGTTTTCTAACATCTGCCATGCAGTATTGAAGCGCGGGAAACATGGAATTGAACCGTTGAAAAGTGGCAGTTTTAGTCGCTCGCAGCATTGCATAACACGAAGACACAGAGAGAGCAATGGAAGATTCAGGAACGATTCTAGCTCACATTTCATCTCTGAAGGATATGCTCGACCAGGTGTCGTGTGCTTCTCCTCTTCTAATTTTTTCCTTGTTCATAGGAATTAATTAATTAATGTTTAATTATCTTTGATAAACCAGGTTAACGAAGAAATCGAGGCTAACATTCAGATTACGCGAGAGATCGAATCCAGCATCGTCAAATGCGAGGAGATCGAAGGCGATTTAGCCGCTAGGGAAGACGAGTTGATCAAAACGAGTGCCATGCTGCAGTTCGACACTGTTGGATACGTCACCGTCGCTGGTAAATTCGGCCTCATCGTTGAACTTCATTTGCATAAATAAATTTTAAACATCGAGCGTTTTTGACATTGTACTATTTGTTGCTCCGTTCAATTAATTTGTGAATTTATAGAAACAACATGAAAAAGCTCATTTGGCAATCAGTTCAAATTCCTAATTATGGTTAGAGGAGAGCATTTCAACTTATAGATTTGGTTTAATCATCACTTCAAATTCCTAGTTTAACGATATAATTGAATCCATGCGCAAAACGTCTTGAACCAACCCAATTAATCAATTACTTTTGGTTATTTTTTGTTGTTTTCTTCTTTGCTTGCGCCAGTTTAGGATTTGAATTCTTGAATCGGAAGTATTTGATTCTGGAATTAGTCATATGCTCTTCATATTAAAACAAACTAAAGTTGAAGTCATAGCGAATATATTAATTAAATAGATGTATAATGTAAATACTGCAGATACCGGAAAGAGAAGTTGTTTGGCAATTTTTGAATACTAAAAGCAAATTCTTCTTCTTTTATAATAAAACAATAAATTAAATTTTCAGCACACGCCTATCGTTCATTCACTTCATAATTCATTAACATCAAAGGAACATATTATGGAATATTTTGAACATGTCCAGCATGCTTCCTATTTGTTGATAAGTTTGACTGTTTGAGTCTTGGGAGTTGTCACCAACAATAACGCTTCCCGCTTCGGAAAAATCGAAGGGGTGCATAGTCTTTTCTTTACCTTTTTCTCAGATAACTTCTACATTTTTTTCCCTGTTAAGTTTACATTTTGAATTTTAACAATTTTTTGATGAAATTGATTGGGAAAATCTGGAAACGTATATAAGTTCTGGAACTCAGATGCTTCTTTCAAGCTCATGAATCTTAACCTATGCAGTCTTATGATGAGATTAGATTTATTCATAATAGGAAATCTATATGTTCCTTTCTCAAAACAAATTGTTTTTTATCCTTATTTTCTGTACTCCAGTGATGTTAGCTTCGATTTACAAGAGCAAATTCTGAACGAAATTAATGCTGCTGATTCTAGTTACTTTCAAAAACGCATTCATTTATCGGAATTTGGATCTTTAGCGGTTGGATCCAGGTTAAAGTATCTAGATTTCCTTGAGTAATTCTTTTGTTGGCCATCTTCTTTTTGCTGTTTCATTTTTGCGCGGTATTACATTTGTTTTCTTTTCATTTATAGCTGAGTTCAGGGCTTCAGTGAGTACCATGGAGAAGGAGTTATGTTGTCTTAAAATGAAGCGGGATGAGATCGTTAATAAAATGGATGAAA